GATTTAAAATGACAACTTTTTCACAAAAAATTAATTTTTTTAACTTAAATTTTGAAAATGTTCCGGAAGGTCTGACACTTTTATATATATCTTAAATTAAAGCTATTGTAATATACTTTATTATGTAAAAAAAAAATTTCAGACTTTATTTTGTCTTCATGGTGAAAATGGCTACCAAATGCTATTATTGTGTGAAAAATCTCAATTTTATTTTTTAGATTTTTAACTTTATAATGCTATAACTTATTGAAAAGTGTATTGATCAATATAATTTTTTTATGGGAAATACTACTTTTTAATAATCCCTTTTTCATTCGACATACTTTATCTTAATCAGGATATTAATAATGAACTAGCAGTTTATGAAGCTTTTAAAATTAAACACTATCTAAAGATTTGCATCGAAGCGTTTTTTTTTTATAGTGATTTTAATCACTGTCAGATATCATTATACTTGATCCAACTATGCCACGTCACCACCACTGTGCCGCGACCCCCTGTGCTGGGTTTTTTTTTTATTCTAACTAGTATACAATTAATACTTACAAATTTTGATATCAAACTNCTGGGTTTTATTTTTTGAGTCTCCTGAAAATTACTGACTAGTATAAAACATCTATATGTCTTATATAAGAATACATGTTTAATACCCAACTTTATTTGATAATTACTTGATAATCAATGGTCACACGGAAATGATATTGCAACCAATGTATCTGGTATTTCTTACAAAATTATAAAAAAAGTAAAAATTATCTTGTCCACTTTTTTTGGATACCATATAATCTTTCTAGATCAGGGTTCATATTTTTCAGCAACACAACAATTTTTAAAATATTAAATTACTATTCTCCATATTGTATTAATAATGAATAAATACAATTCATGCAAATAATAATTACTTAGCTATTTTTGAGAAATAGGGATTACATTAATGAAATTTTTTGTCAAATATAATCAAGATGAATTGAAAAGATATACATTTATTTATGAGTGATTCTAATTATGTCAAAATTAATTTTAAAGGTTTTAGATTAGTCAAAATGAATTCTACAGAGTTTCTTATGAGCAAACAGTTACTGTATGTTAAACTTACTTTTTGTTTGGGCTATTTATTATAGTGCTAAGAATATCTAAGCGTTCATCACTGGAAGAAGGAGGAGGAACATAAATTTGTTTGTCAAATCTACCTGGTCTTAATAATGCTGCATCTATTTTATCAGGGCGATTGGTAGCAGCAACCACAATAACTCCTTGTCCAAGCTAAACAAAAATTTTACTTAAAAAATTTGAATGACAAATAATTAAATATTTTTTGTCTACTTCATTATTATTACTAATACCATCCATTTCAACTAAAAATGTTGATAGAACTCTGTCTTCAAAACCAGCAGATTCTTTGTGCTCAGTACGACAACTAACTAAAGCATCTAAATAAATAATATATTATATAAGAATGTTTTGACAAATTTAATAACTTTTGATCTAATATTGTAATATTAAGATAAAATGAGAGAAAATAGACTTGGATGGTTTAGTCTATTATGAGGAGAGAGGAATCGGAAGCTGTGAGAACAGTTATGGAAATGAATGTTGAAGGAATAAGAGGTAGAAGAAGACCAAACAAGATGTGGAGAGATGTTTTTGAATGAGATATGAGGACAGCTGATATGAGCGTAGATGATGTGGGAGATCATAGCAAATGGAAGTTTAAGATAAGGGTGGTCAAACCCAAGTAATTGGGATTACAGCAAGGAAGAAGAAGATTCGTCTTAAATTGTTATTGATCCATTAAAATTATTTAAAAGAGAAGGTATAAAATTATAATATTAATATTTTGAAATTAAAAAAAAGTAATAGATTATAAGTTATTAAATTTGTCAAAACTGGTAGACCATTCTATATATATGCATGGTGATTTTTTTATCATAGCCCACTCAATTACTTGCAGAATAAATATAATTTAAACCTTTTTTTTTTTTTGTTTCTTTAGTTACATATTTTTCTTAAATAATTAACTATTTAATACTTTTTAAGATCATCCCTTATGCCTTTTAAGGGTAAAAACTTTGTTTTTTAAATGGAAACATATATTTTGAATTTAAAAAATGTTTGGGTTTTTAATTTAATAGTAAATGACATTTAAATTTTTAATGTAACTTTATTAGTTTATTAGATATAAACATTTTAAGTTTCAAATTTTTGAGTTAATATACATGTATAATACCCAAGGAATAACAAATACAGGTAGCTAGTTGGTTTTTTATGATATCGCTATCACAATCACTGACTTTATTATCAATTATGACTATCAATAGATATATTTTCTGTATTGCCAGTTAGTATATTTATAAACTCACAACAATGTGCCTTATTACCAATGATAATAAATGCTATGTACCTGCAAATATTGACGTCTTAAAAAACTTTTAAAATTTTGTCTTAAATCTTAAAAAACAAAATTATATTTATTCTGCAAGTAATTAAGTGGGCTATGATAAAAAATATCACTCTTTATACAAGCACGTTTTAAAGTACTTCACTAAGATATTTAAATTTTACTAACCTATTTCATCTATAAATAGAATAGATGGAACATTAGACCTTGCTCGTTGAAATAGTTGAGATATGTTTGTTTCTGTAACACCTAAATAGAGAGAATATAATTCTGCAGCCATGACTGTAAGAACATTTAGGTCAGATGATGATGCGATAGCTCGTACAAGACTTGTTTTACCACATCCAGGAGGACCATAAAGTAATACACCTAAGAAAATTTTCTGATGTTACTAACTTCAGTTATTATATCAATGTTCAATATTAATTTATCATACAATGTAAATAAATAAAGAGTAAAAATATCAAATGTTAAAGTTATAAAAAAATGTTTTCAGGATAAATATAGTCACAATATAAAAAAAAATCAATAATAATGTATGCTTACAGGTGAAGCCATAACTATTCTAGATGCATTAAATATTATACAAGGTAATCGGTATATTTGTACTTATAAAAATCAAATAATTCTTTTCTGTGTCATTCAAATAAGAAAGGAGACAAGAAAATATTCCACCACATATAATTTGTGAGAAATTTTTAGAAAAAAAAAAAATGAGGGCTAAACATTTTTTTTAAAACTATTCCATTTTTTCATAATAAGGCATTGACAGCTCATGTCATATTTCTATAATTTACAAATACTTTAGTGTTAAGTTAAATTTTTTGACAGTATTGCAAGTGTCCATAGTTGATTTGATAAAATAAGTTATCTTTGAATTTTTAATATTAAGGTATTTGAACTTTAAATATTGTTCATGAATTACTCCTTCTGCTGATTTATCATAAAAATAATTCTTAAATACTACATTAGAAAATAAAAATTCTTCATTGAACTAATTTCAAAACATTCTTGTGCAGCAATTCAACTTTTAACCTTTGGGAGGAGTAACAGCAAAATATCTATATGATTCTGGATAAATTAATGGCCATTTTATACAGATATCAAATAGCGATTTAGCTTCTTTTAATCCTCCTAAATTTGTGTTTCTTATTGATTCTGACTTGGTAATAACTTGACCAATACCAGATTTCAATGATGAAGCAGGATATTTTGAAAGAAGTTTGATTGCATTTATTGATGACCCATTTTTTCTAATCATTAAAAATAATAAATTTTAGATTTTTATTGAAATGAACATTTAAAATAGTTTATAAAATATTTTTATTTGCATACAATTCTAAAATTATACTTGGATTATTTGAAAATTCTTTAGTTACAAGCTCTATGTCAGCAGCAGTATAGCCTGGAGTTAGTCTGGCTAATATGTATGAAATATTACTATCAATATCTATGTTCAAATTTTTAAAAAAACCAAAGAACATTTCAGATCTTTCACTTTCTGACGGAACACCAATATATATCTATATAAAATATAAAACATATTACAGAAAATAAATCAATTATTAAAAAAAAATATTTTACTTCATAAGAAAACCTTGATCCTTGTTTGAATGAAGGATCAATAAACTGTGGTAAACTAGTAGTAGATATAACTAAAATTCGAGGTTGATTTTGAATTGTTGCTAAACAATCTTGTAGTTGGGCACAAATTCGTTTAGCATTTGTATTTTTACCATTTAAAATACTTTCTGATTTTTCTAACATTATTATACAGACAGCTACAACATATATTTATAATAATATATGTATAATGTCATAAAAAAAAAGTAGTATTAATTTTACTTTTTTTATCTTGTTGGATCATAAGTTTAGCTTTCAAAAATAAATTCCGAATAGAAATTTCAGTGGAACCTGGGTCAGAATTAATAAAATCAGTAGATAAAAAATTTAAGAGTATACATTTTAATGATGCAGCAACATGTTGTACAAGTCTTGTTTTTCCACAACCAGATGGTCCAATAAGCATAATCTAAAAAAAAAAATCCTATTATATATTATGTAAGCAATACATAAATGGTAGTGAAATATACCTGATTACAAAAGAATGAACATTGATATAATTTTTTTGTTGTTTTTGCTACTTCTATGATATTTTTTAGACAACTTACTTGTGATGCAAGACCAAATACTGGTTCTACTTTTAAACCAATTTCTACCTGTTGAAACTGTAAGTATGACATTGTTTTAATTATTACTATATTAGTATCAGTTGTAATACGAGCAGCATTATTATTACAATCTGTTCTATGAATGAGAATGTAAACTATATTTAATGTTCGGTTTGATCCAAGTTTATTCAGGTTTACTATACAATGGTTATGTACTACAAATAACCGTAAACAATTCTTAATAACTTTTGTTAAACTTAAAGTGTCATTTGACCAATCATTCTGGTATTTTACATCACTGAAAATAACACTAACAAAGATACGTTTAGCATTACATACAGTAACTTTTTCAATACACTCAATAGGTATATCTAGTTTAACAACAGATGGATCTATATATTGATTAGGCATATGCTGTACAACACTCATCTCACATCGTGCAAAAGTATTAGTAAAATTAATCTGAGGTACATGTTTACACAATATTTTCAACTCTTCGTTTATTTTAATTAAAACATATTGGTTAAATGTTGTGGAACAAATAACATTTTCTGCTGCATACATATGTTGAATTGTTGCAACATGACTTTTATCCGGTATTTTAGATAAATAAATTGATGTCATTGTAATTCAATGTTCAAAAGAAAATTTAAGTGAAAATCATTTATTTCTTAAAAAAATATTTGCCACTTGTCAAAGAAAAAAAGTATATCACACAAAAAGCATGAATACATATAATAGTTTTAACCACAAAGTAATTCTAATTTTTTACTACATATTACATCATAATTTTAATAAATAGCATTAACTAATTATAAACTATTTCATTATTATTATAACTATTAATTATACCAAATAAGGGTAACGGAGCGAAACATAGTCATGTGCATAGCCATGTGCGTTCTTTTTTAATTGATAACAACTAGGGTTACAAACTTTAAGAGATAACATTTTCAGTTAAATAATAATAACACAGTGTGTATTTTATACGAAATCGCTAATTGCCTTAGAATGACAAGGTTTATAGAAAATAATCTAAATATTTATAGCTGAGTTATTGTTGAATCAGAGCTTTTATGGCATAGTTAGGTTTAAATTTCACCAAATTGCAAGTCGTATTAGACTTTTCGTATAGTTTGTAAAATTAATCCAAGAGGAAAAATATTAAAAATCCGTCATGGATGTAATGTAAGTGCTTTCTAAATTAAATATTGGAATTTTTGATTATATAGTTTATATTTATACTTATATATAAATTGATCAATCTATTAAGGGTTTAACAATATTATTTTAAATATGGATAAAGATTCTATAAATATAAATTTATATTTTTTGTGCTGTAGTTGCAATTATTATTTCCCTACATTCCAATTTACCATGAATTGTACATAATGTCTTACTTCATTTTGATGATAGATACTGTTATAGTTAGGAAAAAAATTATATCCTATTATCAAAAATTTAATATATTAGCTTTTTTTATTAGAAATAATGATATAGTAATTTTTAAACTTATGAAATTATTAATTTTTACATAATTATTTGATGAAATTATGAATTTTTGAGATTACTAGTGTAGAAAAATTATACATTGTAATCTATATATTATATTTTGAAACTTAGAAATTTTTAACAATTTGCATGTTTGTTGAGTTAAATATTATTTTAATCATTTATTCTTTTTTTTCTGAATTATTCTAAATACCAAAAAGTATAAAGATCTAAAAAATTGTTTAAGTATTTTCCATATTTCCTGATCAAAAATTCTTTTGTTTTATATAAAAACTGGTTCAACCACTTTGTGCATTATTTTAATCTTTTCTACAGTATAAGATTTTTACAGGTTTAAATCTACTCTTATATGAAAGGAAAATGTATTAATTAATATTATATTTGTTTTTTATGATAATAGTTTTCAAAATTGTGTAAAAATTACATTATGTGTTGGAATTAGTTCAAGTTTTACTGCTGTATTGTACAAGTATTTTTATAAAGAAGAAATTAAAGTAGTATTTTTTTATGGTAACTCGGTTAATATTAATCATACATTTGATATCAATTCAATTAATGTACAGAATTGTGATTGTTCCAATTGTAAATTAAATATAATATTAGGATGGATCAACAGTGCCAAATACACATTGGATATTTGTATGTGTATTCTGACTAACGAAACAATTTCAAAGGCAATAATTAATGCTCATAAAAGAGGTATATGTATTAGAATTATAGTTGATGAAGACACTTTAAAGACAACTTGGGAAATGGGAAGAGAAGGAATTGCTAAAAAAGTTAAAAGCAAAATTTACTCTGAAAGTATAATGCACCACAAATTTACTATAGTTGATGACAAAAAAGTTATTCTTGGATCTCTTAATTGGACCAAAATGGGAACTCGAAAAAATTGGGAAAATACATTTATTACAAATAATCGAGATATCATTGCTGAATACAAGAAAGAGTTCTTAAAATTATGGAATGGCAATATATAAACAATTGCTTGATTTGATAAACATTTTGTTGTGGTATTATTATTAAAAAAAATGAGTATATTTTAAAAAGATGTTTTTTATTAATATAAAGGTTAGGGTCAATCTATGTCAAATCATCCAGACATGGTTGTACAACCTCTTCTTCCAAATACTTGGAGTCAGCCACTCTTATCCTATACTTCTACTTACCAGAATCTCCCATATCATTTACGCATACATCAGCTATCCTCAAATCGCATTCAATAGCATCCCTCTATTTCTTGTTTGGTCTTCTTCTACCTCTTATTCCTTCAACATTCATTTCCATAACTGTTTTCACAGCTTCCGATTCCTCTCTCCTCATAATATGACTAAACCATCCAAGTCTATTTTCTCTCATCTTATCCACGATTGACGCTACACCTATACTCTTCTATGTTCGTTCATTATCCTATCTTCTCTTGTCACTTCACTCATCCATCTAAGCATTCTCATCTCTGTTACACTCATTATCTGCTCTATTCTCTTGTCAACCGCACAACCTTTAGAACCATACATCATAGCTGATCCTACTATAGTCTTATAGGACTTACTCTTCAGTCTCATTGAAATTTTCTTATCGCATAACACCAGACTCATCTCTCCACTTCACCCACCCATACATGATCCTATGTCTTACACCCTCTTCAAAACCACCATTCTTTAAACTCAACTAATATTAAATACTGAAATTTTCTACCTCGTAACTCAGATTAAGAGAGATATTCTCAAATTATTGAGGATATCAGATTTTCATGTTTATATGTTTTAATCTCAATATTATATTGGGATCAATATTGAATAATATTAAAATAATTTTTTTTTTTTGGTTATCCCTTATTGACTTTTTTAACTGTGTGAAAACTTAGAGCTGTTTTTATTTTTTCCAAAGGTGACATACATATTTTAGAAGTATATTTATTAAATAATAATCTATTTAAGAAATAACTGGCTAAATGTATTATTTTTATCGTTTAAACATTTCGCGCCCTTACTCGTAGATACTAAATCGTTAATAACTTATAAAATATTAGTCTAAAATTTGTTATCGATCAGTCATTTCCTTAACTGTATCATTATCTAATAAATAAGCTTGTTAATTTTTGTCTTTTGAAAAATTAAAGTTGACGCGTTTAAAAGGTATAAATCAAAACCAAATAAAAAAAAACCCACACAGGGGGGTCGCAGCACAGTGGTGCCGTGATATAGTTGGATCAAGTATAATGATATCTGAAAGTGATTAAAATCACCATAAAAAAAACGGTAGCACAGTGGGGTCGAGGCACAGTGTGGACGAGGCATAGATGGGACAAGTATAGATNAACGCTTCGATGCAAATCTTTAGATAGAGTTTAATTTTAAAAAATTGATGTATTATTCCAAAAGCTACATGATCTACTAGTTCCTTATTAATATCTTGATTAAGATAAAGTATGTCGAATGAAAAGGGATTATTAAAAAATATTACACTTTTCAATAAGTTATAGCATTATAAAGTTAAAAATAAAATCGAGATTTTTCACACAAAAATAGCATTTGGTAGCCATTTTCACCATGACAACAAGTTCAGAGGTCAAATATTTTTTTTTCAAATTAAAGTATATTACATAAGCTTCAATTAAAGATATATATAAAAGTGTCAGACCTCCCGGAACACTATCAAAAGTTAAGTTGAAAAAGTTCTACTTTCTATATGCATTTTTTTGATTTGAAGCCCCCCGTATATATGGAAATAGTCTGATTTAAAAAAAAAGTATGTCGAATGAAAGATGTATATAAATACTACTTCTCATGAAAAAATTGTATCGATCCATACATTTTTAAAAAAGTTATAGCATTTAAAAGTAAAAAATGTAAATTATAAAATCCAGAATTTTCATACAAAAATAGCATTCGGTACCCATTTTCACCGTGAAGACAAAATAAAGTCCGAAATTTGTTTTTTCAAATTAAAGTATATTACATTAGCTTTAATTTAAGATATATATAAAAGTGTCAGACCTTATAAAATTTAAAATATAAAATTTATCATATAAAATTTATATGATAAAGGGTTTTTAAGAAATAAAAAAAATGTTCATTAAATTAATTAAAATAACTCAAAAGCCACAAAAAATTACTGAAAAGTCGCGGATACGTATTTCGGAAACAATGTTACCATTATAAACGCTAAACATATACTGACTCGGTAGAAGATATAAAATTAAAATTCCAAAAAAAATTCTACTATGGAAAAATGATTGGTGATTACCTTTCTATTTTTGCAATGTTTTACCTGTTTAAGATTATTTTTTAATACAATTTTTGATGATGGAGTAAAATTATATTAAGTATCATTCATTTTTCTATTTTCTATTGTAGGCCAATATTTTTGTTATTTTAGTTACACATTTTTTAATTTAATAAAATACAATAAAAATATTGTTTATAGTAAAAAATTATAATTTTTTATTACATGCAAAAATTACCAATTAAAAAATATAATATAAATAAAAATGGTGTTATAGTTTTAAGTACACGATCTTCAAAGATCTTTTTCTTTATACAATTTTGTACATAAATTAATATAATTGACTTATTTTTTACAAAGAAAAAGATAAAAATTTAGATCACAAGCAGAGGGTACAAGTAAATGAATTCCACACTTGGTGCGACATTCTAATAAATTATTCTGCATTCAATATAATTTCTTAATTAAAATAATTTCTAAATTTGCATAATATCTAGTAAATAACAGTATTTTATGTTAAAACAAAAAAATCATATAAATAATGATTTATACTATAAAACAAAGCAATTACAATTAAATTAATTAAATGAGTATTTTACAAAATTTTAATACTGTAAGAAATGTTATTTTTATATAATTTTAGAATACATTAATAGGCTAGCCTAATTCATCTGTAGTACGCCATATTATTTATGGTAACAGGATTTAATATATTGGACAAAATCAGTCATCAAGTAAAATTATTTATTTTTTAGTAAAGTATAAAAAAATAAAATAAAAGAGACCAGGTAGACTTTATGTTAATTTTATAATTAAGATAAAATACTAAACATGCAAAAATTAATATTTGTAAAATCATAAGCACATGCCCGGATAATAAGAAGGAAATAATAATAATTGTTGACTAGACATTTTTTACAAACAGAATTTTTTTAGGGGTTTCGTCAAGTTTCTACTTTAATAGAACTTGATGCTGCCAAAGAATCCATTGCGCTTGGAATTTGTAAATTTTCAGTGGCCTAAAAGCAAATTAAAAAAAATAATTAAAAATAATCAATAAATTAATATATATTTAAGACATTCTTACCTCTATGAGATGATCAAGACCAAATAAAAAACCTTCTTCATGATTGCCAGGCACCCAAGGCTGTCTGTGTGTAAGAACAACATTTTCAGGTACATGTCGAGTTTTTGCAAAGTCTATAAGCCAGGCCCCAACTTTAGTGTCATCATAAATAATTAGAATACTGCTACCCACAATCTTAAAAAAAAAAAAATTAATATTATACTTAAAAAAATAAAAATAAATATATTTTTTAAATTTACTTCATGAGTTTTGAAATACTGAGAACGATCTAACTTGCTCCTTATTTCATTCAGTCTAGCAACCAATCGATGCCTTATGTCCGGTCGGTCGCCTAGGAACAATGCTAATGTATTATTTACTTCTTCATTACTTTTAACAGTTTTTAAATCAGTGACAGGAGGAGATCCACGAAACTATAACGATAATTATTATTATTAACATACATTAAATCTTTAAAAAATCTATATAAAAAGTGAATAATTTTTTTTAATAGGCAATTAATGTCTAAATAATAATTACCTTCATAGCTTCTATCCTAAATCCATGACTGCAGGTAGAACTCTGTTCTTCTCTAAACTGCATGTATCGTAATTTAGTGACAGCTTGAAGTTCACGTTCTTCTGAATTAGGCGCTTCTGGATCAACAGCAATCATCTGTGAAAATATGAGAACTTATTAATTATTTATAGAATAAAATATATTTTACTTAACATCAACTTTGTAGTTAACTACACACCTTGAGGTATAAATCTTTACGAGCAGTTGTATTCTGAACCTCAGACTCTAAAAATGTGCGTGTGCCCATTTTGATATCCATAACGTTTGGATCTCTAAAACCGTACAGTAAGTCTTGCATCTCAATGAATGTTTGACCATTATACTCGACTTCTCTATAGTATTTAGGTACAATATCTTGGAGACTAGGTTCTTTGGATAGTGCTTCGTATACATCCCGTTCAGTGCCACCATTACATTTTTTCCAGATAGTACCTAAACCAGCTGGCGCAAAACAGTCTGGATGGCCAGACAATTGGAACCAAGATTGCTGTTGGGGAGCACTTGCCCTGCATGTTCCAGTTGATTGTGTAGGAGACACTGTGGTTTCTCGATACTTAACCCGAGTTTCTGTTTCTCCGTATATATTAGTGGTCGTGTTGTTTCGGAGTAGCACATCGCTAGCTGGTGCGCTTAATTCTAAAGCGTTCTAAAAAACAACTATATTTAATTACACACGTTAAGCTACAGTGTTAATGTTTTTAAGACTTACCAGTGCTAGAAATTTCAGAAGAGAATTTTCTTTTTTGTGATTTTTTTTTGAAGATGGTACAGCATTGCATTGATTACTTTTCCATTCGCTTTCGGTTTGCTGCAATCAAAATAAATTCATTGAATTATGTTTTCACTAACTACCGTAAAAATGTAAACACATTTGATTGATACCGAAAATTTATTTTAAATCATTAAAAAATATTTTTGCGATTTATAACTACGCTTTTTTCGAGGGGCCCTATAGCAAAATTTAAATTATATATAATCATGTACAGGAAAAGTAAACAGCGTTTTAGTAATTACATTTTCTATGTATGTTTAATATGGGTTGCCTATAGGAATAATATATATTTTTATAATCCAAAACTCATTAACGAGTATGTTAACTTAATAAAGGCGTTAGTCTAAAAACCGGTTGGGATTATATAATGTATGTACATAAGGCGGAAAATTATAATAATTTTTAAAACAAACTGGAATTATACAGTATCCGCTTGGCGCCTGTGTCCAAAGAAAAAGTAATAAATTAATACGAAAGAATTTTATGATCTAAAAGAATTTTTAAATAATCGAAAGAAAAAATAATAATACTTTATGAAATATAAATAATCCATTCATTAAATGTTTGACCAACGACATCAAATCCAACCAAATACACTAACTTCGTGATGATCCAAAAGCTTGATTCATTCAAACGTTTTATTTTTTACGCATTTTCATAACGAGAATTTCAAACGTTTTCCAAAATTGCATCAGTGAAATTTCGAATTCGCGACAAGAATAAAAAACCGTCCTAAAATAATATCGTCAAGTATAAAAAGTTTAATTTTAAACATTTCAATTGGTGAACAAGGCGTGAAGTCATGGCTCATTAAGTTTAAAATCAATAAGAATGTGCGTACACGTTTCCTGTGATTGTATGCGATTCTCATATTGTATTCTAAATATAATAATACTATCATCAGATATTTGATCATAACACACATTCGCACATTATAAGGAAATGTTATTAATATGCCGTTGGCGTTTGCTGCGTGTTTACTATGGTTTGGATCTTTGACTATTTCTCAGATATTTCATACTTGCTCGCCGAGTGACGATTTTTTCTCTACATTACTTTGCCATGTTTACTATTGTTATTAACAAGAGATACGCATTGCCGGTTTACGACATAGTTGTACGTTTTAGTGAGCTAAAACAGAATCAAGGTCAACACAGACGGGTAAAAGATTAGAATGATAATTTAAATATAATTATAAAAAAGACGAGTAATATAATCCAAAGGATTTTGCTAAAATTGTAAAACAAAAACAGATCACAATAAATAAAAATGTTTGTTATCATAATTGTACATAGTACACCATTAATTAAACACGAAGTTAAGACTAAATATGTATCAATGAACTAAAACCTTACATGATAATAAAATAACTACAGTCGATCACGCGAACGCTTAGAACACGTGTAAAATAGTTCATTATACATCAATACCCATACATTGTACTATTTTTAATACTTCAGTGAAAACGTCTTTTATGCAAATTATAACGCTTGTAAATCAGACGAGCTTTCTCAACGACATTTGCTAGAATTCACAAAATACTATAAGTGATAAAAAATGTACAGTCACAGTTTAAATTAATAAGCGTAACAACATTATAATACGAAAAATCTAGGTTAATAATAAGACCAGTTGGAAATGTCAGTCTACACTAAACCAAAACTATGTCAAAACATTAGTATAATAATAACAACTAGTCGAGCAAAATATTGTGTGGACTTTGATAAGTTTTCCTAAAAATCTTGTTGTGACTATATTAATTACTCGTTTCCCAACAACGCACTATAAAAACAGAGTGCGAGTTCTAAATTTAGAATTTAACTTAATTCCGCTATAAAACAAAGTACCAATTGTGATAGCAAATTTGTTTGGAGGATATCAGTAAATACATTAATTATATTTAAAGTGATTTTTCGTTTTTCTTTACTTAACAAATGTTAAACATTCAATAATGTTAGATCAGCAGAAATCACCATAATTTTATGCTATTAGACTAATGTTTTAATTATTTGTTGAAAACATTTATACAGATTAATAATGATTTCTTATCATTAAGAAATAAACTAGGCATTGATTCTTGTTATTTTTATAGCAGTAATTCACAAACCAAACTCTAATGCCACTAAATAGAGGATTATATAAATAAATACTGATTTTCAATAATAAATGATAAGTATGGAGCAAATGTACAATATGGCTCTAACAATTAAAATCCTAGGCAGAAATGAATGGTGTCTATACTTTTTTTTTTTTTTTATGTAATTACCATAAATTAAATCTAAGTTTTTTTTTGTACTAAAATGAAATTTATTACATAATAATTGTAAGTGTAAAAAAAAAAATACATTTATGTAATGTTAATTACTTATCGAAAAGTTATACGAATTGGTGTTGTGAAATTTAAAGAGCATCGCGAGCAATTTAAACCGAATCAAAAGAGTCAAATGTCAACAACCGCCTAATATATAAGTAATATTTTGTAATCCATTACACAACTAAGGTCAGAATCACATAACAAAAACAATATCCAAAACATTCAAATTATAGATGTAAAAGTAGTTCGTTAAATTCATTCTAAAAATAAACATCCGAGTTTTAATTCGTATGTTGAATGACCTAACAGGTAATAAGTGCAAAAAGGTTTAATATAACTCGCCATTCGATAACCCAAACTACAGTAGTTTACATACATTTTAATGATACTAGTAAACATGCACAATTTTCAATTGAATAGTTTTAACTTTATCATTTTTAACGCTTGAAAAACATCTCAGTAGTGAATAATAGTAATCATATTAACACTGTCTAATTGTAAAACTACACAATTAAATCGATCTAACGCCTATTCGGCATCTTATAAAATGAATTCATGCAAAATGATAAAACATTTTCAAATTTAATCGAAATACAATCTTATAGTTCAATAACATTTTTTACTATCCTTCGTAAGTCGACCGTCTTACTTTTGCTCGTTTAGAGTAAGAAACAGTCAATGTGTAAAATTTTACTGTTGCTTACTATTACTCGGCCACTGTGTTCTCTTCTATTTAATTTATTTTGCTTCATTACTTTCAAATGGTAGAAACTGACTATTCATAATTTTATCGAATCACACTGTTTCCTTGCGTACATTTTCAAAACTTATAAGCGAGACAAGAAGTTACCATTTGTAAATATATTTCCTTGTCTTACAAATTTTTAAAAGAAACAATATTTTCACTAAATAAACAAGTGTTACCTTTTTAAATATTAACGAATAATAATTGACGTAATAACTAGACACGTGTAAAAACACGGATTTGTTATTTCCAAATTCTTTACTACAGATGCACACAAAAGAAGTACATCAATAAAAAACACACTTCAATGAAGTGTCAATAGAAAAAATGAAAAATTTGAAAATAATTTTACTAAGATAATTTGTTGTGATAAACATATGTTGTAAGAACATCTTAGTAAAATCACATTTGTGATTTGTGATTACAACATCATTTGTGTCGCTGGATATTAAAACAGTTAACTATGGGTAAATTTTATCAAATAGTTTTTTCTTAGATCATTTCATTTGAATTTTTATGATATCTACTATATGAAGATATAGCAACGGATATAAAAGAAACAGCATGTCTAGTGCTGACACAAGAGGAAGAGAAATAAAACACTTCAATGAGAAATTAGCAGGCTCTTGACCCGGTGTAACAGCGTGCAAACATACTTTCTCTTGGTTCAACCTCGCACTCTACAAGACTATGCACTAGTCCATCAAGTATCAACTGGAATATTGTTTTCATATTCACCGCTAAAAATAAAAACTTGTTTGCTGATAGAATAGATGAAAAGGTAAAAAAAAATTCGCTTTCTGTTCCATTAAGTGGTAAGCATGCAACGGGTATTTCAAACGTCATCATTGTTGAGAACAGTTCGTTGACATGATTCTCAACCACACAATTATTGTGACGTTTAATGCAATACACTCCGTTTATTTGAGCAAGTTAACGAACGTTTAGAATTATATGAATCACGTTAATATTAATATTTTGATTCCAAAAACTAAATATAAACATTGAAGTTGGAAATAACGAGGAGCAGAGGACAAATATATCTATTTTGCAGGTAAATGTAATGAGTTATAGATTGTAACGGTTCTTTTCCATAATAATAAAAAATTGATTGCAACGTGAAAATCGACAAGGCCGAAGTCATTACATAATTTTACCGTATGGTACCTCGTGTGCTTGCACATTTAATCAAACACTTGAATCGACTTTATACAAATAAACATAATAATAATGTAACAGTGTGTCAATCGATCAAATGAAGTAAGGACAAATGCTGACAAATGTTTTACCTGAGGCAACATAAAAAAATGTTGATATTGATACATCGCGAAAAACATAGAAACTCGATTTACACCTGAACATATACATATTGATAAACAACTGATCGCTCAGAACATTTTTTTATGTATATTCTTGATTGACATAACAATCGAACAAAATAATATTTAACACAGTATTTAATTTGAGTTTAATTACATAATGTCAGTAAACACATTATAATAATTAATATAGCAGTTTAATATGACACTTACTGTACTAAATTATAAAAATTACACCTTTTAAAACCTTGTCAGATTAAATTGACAGGAAATTTATTATTTAAGGTATATCTGAGCCTAGGTTATGTATTTAAAAAGTCCTTGACACGATAAAAACCTAAGATATATATCAATAAAAAAACGGGTTTCTAGCGTATCTATAGCATGAAAACGCATAATGCATTAATCCCAGTAATATTAAAGAACAACTAAACGCCATGCTTACTGAAGAAATTTGTTTCAATAATATTATAAGAATACATCAATAGTCCTTCAAATACATAATTGGACTCGGATTAGTTAAACGGGCTTCTAATTGTTTTATAAATACTGTCAAAGTGGTGGAATAACAAGGGATGAACAAATTACCTGTACGTTTATTCAATTACAAATAACATTTTAATCATCTGTTTAATTGCTCTAGGATTACTAAATTGAA